TTGTAAAATACAACATAAATGTATTTTCATTTGCTTTGATCGGAAGAAACTTTTCTCAATCAACTGACCACTAACCACCATGAAATTCACAGGACTTTATTTCATTTAACAAAGTTTTATAATCATGTAAGCATTATTTTCCCCAGGATCTTTTTCAAACACTCCCAGTCCAAGGTCAGTCTTCCGTTTCAGCTTTCCAACTTCCTTGCTTTTCATCAACCCAAACTTCTCCACAGCTTTGCCACATGATATCACATAAAAAATATAAAGTCCACACCTAGAATATTCTTATGTATTTAGGCACTTGCATAATTTCAGATCTTATCTTCTAGAATTGTCTCCTTACCAACTGTATATTGATTTTGTTTTCCCTTATATGTAACACCTCTAACATACTAAGTTTATGTTCCATGTAGAGTCTTTATATTTGTTGTTCCTTCTACTTGGAATGTTCTTATTCCAGGAAGTCATATGGTTGTTCTTATCATTTATGTCTCAGCTCATATATCACCTTGTAAATACATATGTCAGTCACTTTTTCCATTTATGCTCTTTATTTCAACTTACTCTTTATGACATTTCTCAGTGTTATGTACTTTGTACTCTCTATCACTTTTTAAATTGTCTTAATCATGGGTTTATGTTTTTTAGTGTATATTTCTCCCTTTGAATGAGATGTTTTTCAGGGCCACTGCTTCCTATGTCTTAGAAAGTATTTTGTCTCCATATCATTTCATATTGCATGGGTAGGGGATGAAGACATTTAAAACCTACTTCCCTAGTAAATTTCAAATAAACAATACAGTACTATGTCACTCCCCCTCTTCGCGGAGGAACGACACAGGATCCTGCGTTGTTCTTTTGTCTGCTCGGCCCTCCCCGGGTTTGCTGATGGTTCTTCCCAGGTTGGCTACCAACCCTTCCACCTCCGTGGAAGGGCGGTTCCCCCTGCCACTTTCCCCACTTCCGCAGGGGAGCGGCACAGCGCCGGCCGGCTCTCTCGGGGGCTGCACAGGTGTTCCTTCAGATAGATGTTCCTGGTGCATGTTGTCTCTCTCCTCCTTTATAGTCCTCTTCCACCAATCCCAGCTCTGCTACCCACACGCCGAGTACACTGCTCTCCTCCAATCAGGAGCAGGACCTGCTGTTTATTGGTTGAACTGGAGGCAGCTGTGTAGAAGCTGTTTCCTCCTCTCCCAGCACCATATTGTGGGAGAGCAGATGCATAGAATAAGTCTTAATTCGAGTAACAGTGTAGTCTGAGTTGCTCCCCACAATTCCCCCTTTCTTTTTATTTTTTGGCGTTGATACGCACCTGTCTTCGGTGCCCCACGGCACACACTCTGCTCTGCTTGCTAGAGTTGCCCACAGGTGCTTACAAGCCCTACCAATCAGGCAAACCAAATCCAAGCCTTCTCATTGCCGTATTGTGGGGAGACTTATTGGTGTTGATAAGGTGCCTGTCTTCGGTGACCTGCGGCGCATAAGCTGCTAGCCGCCCGCAGGTGCTCACCACCTCCCTAATCAGGCAGACCAAATCCAAGCTCTCTCATTGCCGTCTTGTGGGGAGACTTATTGGTGTTGATATCGTGCCTGTCTTCGGTGACCTGCGGCTCATAAGCTGCTAGCCGCCCGCAGGTGCTCACCACCTCCCTAATCAGGCAGACCGAATCCAAGCTTTCTCATTGCCATGTTGTGGGGAGGCCTTATTTTTATCTATTTCTCTATCTCCGGGCATTCCTATTTCTCCTATTTTACTTCTATCTGCCAGCATTCCTATTTCTCTCATTTTACTTCTATACTTCTGTTTCTCTTATCCCCGCGGCTTCCCGGCGCCCGCCCCGAGGCTGCTTCTCAGCGCCTCGCCCCGCGGCAGCTTCCCAGCTCTGCGCGGCTTCCCGGCTTCACGCGCGCTCCGCGGTCTCTGCGCCCTTCGCACACGCACCACAGCCTCAGCACTAGCCCTGCGTTCCCTATCTATTCGTGCCCCGCGCGCTCTCTCTGCACGCGGCGACTTCCGCGAATCACACAGCCTAGCTCACGTTTCCGCCACCGGTATTCAGTCTAAGTTCCCAGGGCTAACCTGGCGAATTCAACCTAGCTCACTTCTCCGCTTCGGTTTGGCTGCCCGTCTTTTGCTCCCCGGGCTAATCTAACGGATTCCAACCTAGCTTACGCGTCTCCGCCTCTGGTTTTAGATTTTTCGCCTTTTGTTCCCCGGGCTGACTTGATGAATCCCAAGCTAGCTTACGTCTCCACTTCAGCCTGCCCCCGCGGCTTCATCCTCCTAACATTTTTCTCTACCCGGTATGTTTCCTAACTTTTCTTCCAACAATATTCCCCTCTCATTTCTCCTGGCTTCTCCCCACAGTCCGTATCCGAGTCTAAGTTTCTTCTAGCTTTCACTTTCGCTTTCGACCTTAGAGATTTCTCCCAGCTTCCCCGCCATAGTCTGCATCCGAGTTTAAGTTTCTTCTTCCTTTTACTTTCACTTTCAATCCTAGCTTTCAATCCTAACTTCTTTTCCACAGTCCGTATCCGAGTCTATGCCTAGGCTTTCGATAGCTTCTTCCGGCACCTTTTCCATCCGGCTTTCCCCTAGGCTCTTCTAGTCTCTCTCTCCAGTATTTTCCCACTTCTTCCCATTTCTTCCCTCCTAAGTTTCCTATCCAAGTCACGGCACCATTATGTCACTCCCCCTCTTTGTGGAGGAACCACACAGGACCCTGCGTTGTTCTTTTGTCTGCTCGGCCCTCCCCGGGTTTGCTGATGGTTCTTCCTGGGTTGGCTACCAACCCTTCCACCTCCGTGGAAGGGCGGTTCCCCCTGCCACTTTCCCCACTTCCGCGGGGGAGCGGCACAGCACCGGCCGGCTCTCTCGGGGGCTGCACAGGTTTTCCTTCAGATAGATGTTCCTGGTGCATGTTGTCTCTCTCCTCCTTTATAGTCCTCTTCCACCAATCCCAGCTCTGCTACCCACACGCCGAGTACACTGCTCTCCTCCAATCAGGAGCAGGTCCTGCTGTTTATTGGTTGAACTGGAGGCAGCTGTGTAGAAGCTGTTTCCTCCTCTCCCAGCACCATATTGTGGGAGAGCAGATGCATAGAATAAGTCTTAATTCGAGTAACAGTCTAGTCTGAGTTGCTCCCCACAGTACTATTAACTGTGGTCACCATACTGTGCACAGATACCCATAACTAAACATTTTAATAACTGATAGTTTGTACAACAACTCCCGATTTCCTTCACCCCTGAGCCCCTGGCAAATATATACCTTGTCTCTGCCTCTGTGACTTTGAGTTTCTTAAACTAGTGATGCCCTTAACAACTGCTCATCTTCATGTCTAGCATCAAAGAGAAGCGAATTTGGGAGAAGAAGAAGGAAAAACAACTCTCCCTTAACCCTGCATTCTGTGGCATAGAGTTTTTCTTTGTCTTTTTTCTTTTATGTCTTTTATGAAAGAAATATCCTTGCCGGAATAAATATAACTAATTCTTTAAGAATCATACAAAATCCTGTCTTTGATGAAATCTTCTGTGACTTCTTTATTGTACATGTACTTTTTGTTATTCTCTGGCAGTTGGTTGAATTACAATGCATAAAGTTCTCCATATCTACATCTACCGCCCTCCATATTTAAAAATACATAAAATAATACCATCAAATTCAGTGGCATGGGTTCTAATTATGACTACTGTTTATAGAATAATTCATTTATTCATTCACTCTTCAAATATTTACTGTTTCTGTGAACCATATAGTAAGAAAACAGAAAAAAAATGGGTCAGATATCTGACTTTGTATATCTAACCTTAAGCATGAAAAAAAGAAATAACTGGACCTCACATATCAAATCCATGTAATTCTGTGATTAGTTTAAAACAAAACAGAAAATCCTGAATTATATTGGTTAAAATTGAACCACTTTACTTTGTATGATTTCTTAAATGGCAAGAGGTAGAACACTAAAAATTCTTAAGGAAGTGCATAATAGTTTAGAAAACAAAGAGCTTACTGAGTAATTGGATTGTGAAGTAAGCATCAAAAATGGAATTATAAATACCATGAAAACTTTGGTTACTAGAATAAGAAGATATAATAATTATAGATTACAGAATGATAAATAATGAGATTGTTAGTGATTTTTACACAGACTACTGGGACTATTACAAATGATTACAATTGTCTCTGAAACCTTGACATAAACTCCTGCAATTCAATATTATTCTTGTAGTACAATTGGTTTTGTTGGGGAAATGAATGAGAGTGTGTGCTTTTTCACATTAGCTGTACTCCATGGAATTTTTAAATAAGATTTTTATTGATATATTTTGTATGCTTACAATTTACACATTTAATTGTAAAATTCACTCACAGTCAATTTCAGAATATGTCCATTTCCCATGAAAGGATTCCATAGCCATTGCCAGTATTCTCCTCGCCCAGGTCCCCTCAACCCTAGGCAACCTCTTCTGTATTTCTGCCTTTATGATTTGTCTATTTTGAACCTTTCACACAAATGGAGTGAGAAAATGTGGCATTATTGTGACCTGTTTATCTCAATTACCATAGCGTTTTCAATGTTTATGCGTGCTATATCATGTGTCAGTAATAAAATAGTGTTTATTGTCAAGTAACACTCTACTGTATAGATGGGCTAATATTTTTTATTCGTCAATTGATCTCTGTTTATGCAGTTTTCAGTTTTGGACTGTTTCTGTCTAGACATTTACTTTGAGTAGTATACCTAGAAATTGAAATTCCATGTCATATATTAACTATATTTTAACTTTTGGAGAAATTTAAAGTGATTTTAAAGATCTTCTCAGATGTGCTCAACCTGCTCTAGAGTGACTGGTCTGCTGAGGAGATGGAAACTGATTTCCAGGGGAAATTGTCATTTGAACACACAGAGAGAACTAAACTTCCAAAAGCCAAGGAGTGTGAAACACTGCAGGGGGCCACTAGAAGGTAAAAGAAGCAAGGAATGTTCCTTACCAGAAGCTTGTTATGTAGCATGGCCTGGCAAGAACCTTGATTTCAGGATTCAACCTTCAGAACTAGGAGAGAACACATTTTGTTGCTTTAAGTTTGTGGCACTTCATTATGGTATTTTATATATATATATATATATATACACATACATATATATATGTGTGTGTATATATTTATTATATATATTATAGTTTTATATTTTGTATATGCAAAATACAAGTAATTGGTGGTGTTGACTCCACAAATTTTCTCTGGCTTTTTTTGGAAAGTACCAGTTATTTTCTAAAACTAATATAAATAAAATTATGTAAATGGTAAAAATAAAATAAGTAAAAAGTATATTAGTCATTTTCTAAAAAAAAAATTTCCAGAATATTTAGTTACACTTAGTAAAAGTAATGGAAATATGTAGGTTTTTCATCTCTTGTGAAACTCAAGTCCAAAGACATGTTTTAAGATCCTAAGATTATGCTCTCTCTAGGACAGGGCATGTACCTCTGTGATTCTGTAGGTATGTGTGTTTGATGTGCACATATGCACACTTGTGTTCACCAGTGTTTTCATCAGGTCAGATTTTTTTTCTGTCATTTTTTATCAGTTTTAACTGAAATTTATGGAATCTTTTCCCACAAGAGTATCAATGAAACTCTATACCTCATACATTATGCTATAATGAATGTACCTAAAAGTCAAAATTATCATTAACCAGAGCAGAGAATATCTTAAACCAACATGTCCTATTTCCCACACCCAACTATTTTTTTAAAAGAATTATTTTATTTATTTGAAAGCCAGAGTTACAGAGGGAGGTAGAGACAGAGAGGTCTTCCATTCCGCTATTTCACTCCCCAGTTGACTGCAATGGCCAGACCTGAGCTGATCCGAAGCCAGGAGCCAGGAGCTTCTTGGTCTCCCACGAAAGTGCAGGGACCCAAGGACCTGGGCCATCTTCTACTGCTTACCCAGGCCATAGCAGAGAGCTGGATTGGAAGAGGAGCAGCTGGGACTGGAACCAGCGCCCATATGGGATGACAGCACTACAGGCTGGGACTTCTGCAGGCTGAGACTTTAATCTACTGCGCCACAGAACCGCTGCCCCCCACTCCGACCCTGCAACTATTTTTAAATGAGAACACAAATGGTTGTTCTTTATTTATAAACAAAACCATTTCTTCATCCTTTAGCAGAAATGCTCTCCTTTGGTTCCAGTGCTGTGGCGTAGAAGGTTAAGCCTCTGCCTGCCATGTCAGCATCCCATATGGACACCAGTTTGAGTCCCAGCTGCTCTACCTCCAACCTAACTTCCTGCTAATGCACCAACTCCCTGTGCTAATGCACAGCTGATGTTGCCCCAAGAACTTGAGATCCTGCACCCATGTGGGAGACAAAGAAGAAACCTTCTTTTAGCTTCAGCTTGGCACAGCCCCAGCTGTTGTGGCCATTTAGGAAGTAAACCAGTGGACGGAAGATCTCACTCTCTCCTCTCTCTATATATATATGTAACTGCCTTTCAAATAAATAAGTAAATCTTTGAAAAAGCAATCCTCTATTTTCATTATTTATTTAGATGTTGATAAAATAATAGACTATATTCATAATTTATTCTCTGCTTCTTAACTGAAATGCTGTATAAGTCTTCAAGGAATTTTGAAGCCAAGTTACATCTCTCAACTTCCATCAAAGTGATGTTTTTCTGGGAAAACGCTTGAAGATCTTTATTAATAACTTTAGTAGCACCTACATGGCTGAGATGGCTGCCGTGCTGCCAGACTAGCTGAAGGCTATATACAGAACCATTCCTTTGAGAAATGTAATTCATCACAACACTCTCATATTCTAATTTATTCAAATCACTTCTCTAACTTTGGTAGTACTCATGCTATTTCTTCATACCATGTGTTTTATCACTGAGTATAATCCTACTAAGTCTCCCATGCCTAGCTAAAATGCAAATTCTTTCATAACTTCTATCTGAATTTCCAATTTCATAACAATATTTTTTCTTATAAGATCACAAACAACTTTTCAGCTTTAACATGGTACCTATTATGTCCATGACATTTTTATGTAATCTAGTACACTGTTATATATTTCTAGGTAGGATAGTATCTCTGTTTGGTTCTTTTCCTTATGATCACTCTCATAGTTGTTTGCATACAACTGTAATGAAATAAGCATTCCTATCAGAAAAAAGTGATTTTGTTACTAATGGTTCATTTACTCTAAAAGATGTTAAGATGGTATTTTCCTTCTGAAAGAACATTTTGACATATTTTTCCTTATAAATTTTTATTTCACTCTCATTTTCATGTTCAAGGTAATTTAAAAATAGTCACTGTGTCGCAGTTATGGCATTGTGGTTTAATGAGTTAAGTTGTTGTCTGCAACACTGGTATCTCATATGGGCACCAGTTCAACCCCAGCTGCTCTAATTCTGAACCAACTCCCTGCACCTGGGAGATCAGTGGAGGACAGCGAAGTCCTTGGGCCCCTAAACCCACATGGGAGACTCTGAGGAACCTCCTGGTTCCCGACTTTGGCTTGGCCCAGCCCCGGCTATTGCAGCCATTTAGGCAGTAGGGCAGCTGGAAGATCTCTTTCCCTCCCTCTCGCTCTCTCTCAGTCTGTCTCTCTGTCTCCCTCTTTCTCTCTAACTCTGCCTTTAATATAAATAAAATACATCTTTAAAAAAATGGTCACTGTGTCTACAGTAAGAAATATATTTATTTTTCTTCTCTGATTGGATAAACAGATAATTATCTCCAAGATATTATTAGGTTCTATCTGTAAGCAAGGTGCTCCAATGAGCCCTTTAGTTCCTGTCTTATGAGCACAGAACAGGGAAAGAAGTGGACTAAGGAATGTTCATGAAAACTTGTACTAAAGGGCTCAAGGGATACTTATTGAGTCTAAATAGTACACTACTCCACAGAGCTGAGAGAATAAAAAACATAGAATGGAGAGATATTTGAGTCAGAGAATATATGTCAGAAAATAAATCAAAAAACAATAAGACTTAGAGAGATGATCTTAAATAATCCATTTTAAGGTTCAATTAATATTATTTATAACATTATATTTATAATTTATTAATATTATCACCTATAGTCCTCATGATTTTTATTAGATCTCTAGATCTGTGACTTGTCCATCCTGCATATCTGCTACTTTGCATCCTTTGACCTACATCTTCACATTCCTCCCCTATCCCTTCTCTGCTAATCACTGCTGTTTTCTTTCTCTATATATTTTCATACATATACATATAGATGGATGCATGCATCTATATATTTAGATGTAACATAGGTATGAGAACTCTAATATTTTTCTTTGTGAGCCTGATTTATTGTATAATCTCCTCCAGACTCATGTGTTTTGTGACAAATAGCAATATCTCACTTTTTTTTTTTTGAACAGGCAGAGTGGACAGTGAGAGAGAGAGAGAGAGAGACAGAGAGAAAGGTCTTCCTTTGCTGTTGGTTCACACTCCAATGGCCAGCACGGCCGGTGCACTGTGGCCGGTGCACCGGGCTGAACCGAAGGCAGGAGCCAGGTGCTTCTCCTGGTCTCCCATGGGGTGCAGGGCCCAAGCACTTGGGCCATCCTCCACTGCACTCCCGGGCCACAGCAGAGAGTTGGCCTGGAAGAGGGGCAACCGGGACAGAATCCGGCGCCCCGACTGGGACTAGAACCCGGTGTGCTGGCACCGCAAGGCGGAGGATTAGCCTATTGAGCCGCGGTGCCGGCCAATCTCATTCTTTTTTAAGGCTAAATAAACTTCTTCTATAATATAAACATTTTTTAATCCATATAGTCCCTTGACAGACAGATAAGTTGTCCCTATCTTGACTATTATGAATAATGCTTCAAAAACAGAGTGCTAGTGGGAGCAAATTTGAACTTGAATAATTCTTAATAAGGCATCCTAAAGCTTTTACCTGCTGTTCCAACACTATCTCTTGTTTTTACTAATGAGTCAACTATTGGTATTGGTATTAAAAGGATTAGACTGGAACAGGAAAAGTTAAATAATCTATATTGTCATATAAAATGGTAAGTTTTTAAAAGCTGGATGCTTTTACAAAATGATTTATTTATTTGAAAGGAGAATTTTATTTGAAAGGAGAATTATAGAGAAAGAAAGAGAGACAGAGACATCTTCCGTCCACTGGTTCATTCCACAGATGGCCACAATGGTCAGCGCTGGGCCAGGCTGAAGCCAGGAGCTACATATGGATCTTCCATGTGGATTCAGGGGCCCAAACACTTGGGCTATCTTCCACTGTTTTCCTAGGCACATTACCAGGAAGCTATATAATCAGTATGTGTAGTATGTTTATTAATTATACATCAATAAAAATATGATTTTATATACCATACATTTCATAAATAATCATAAGTAAAGATTAAAAACACTTACAGATACTTAAGGTAGATAAAAGTATACTTATTTTGTATTTACAGAAACAAAAGCAATAACAATATCAGAGAAAAATGCTCATAAATGCTGATAAACAATTTCCAACAACTTAAGTTGATTTATATGAAAGATTGCTTTAGAATATAGAAAAATTGCTTTAGAAACTATCTAGTTTATGGTACACCAGGATTCAAACACAGGTTTTGAACTGATAAACAAACTCTTACTTGTAACCACTGTGCTATAATCTAAGCTCAGTCTGAAGTTTTACTGAACACCTCCTGTATTATGTCTGCTAGATTGTAAGCTGGTTTCTTTTCTTCTATTAGAGGACAAAAGATTAGGGACATATAAATGGAAACAGTCCAAAAATAATGTTTACATCTGTTTCCTAAAGGTTCTATATAGCACATTGTCCCAAACCAGAGAGGAAGAGCCAATGCCCATTTCCAGAGTTCAACTGCTTGTCTACAGAAATCTTCTCCAAAACATGGTTGGTCAACAGTGTGAAAGATCAATTAGCTTGAAAAGAATGTAAATGGCTCTCCAAACTTCCATATGGTGGGGTTACATGGTGAAGAGAATTAGAGATACTATGTCATTGCTTCAAACAAATATCCCTACTAGAGATATGGAGGACGACAA